ATCTGCTCAGAGATTTTCTCCTTAAAATCACAATTGCTCTCATCACTCTCCATATGTTGGTTCCTATGAAGGTTTGTTATTATTTCCCCTAGTGAGTGACTGAGCTGTTAACCAGAATAGTGATTGATTTTCCCATATCACAAAAGAACCAAGAATGTGCCATTTTTATTTCTTCTCCCAACCTTACTATCTCCCCACCATAAATCTAAAAGCATGCAATTACCATACTGAATCCTTGAGCAATAGCATAACTAAAGAGTTTAGATTCCCAAAGCAAACCCTTCAAAAAGATCTAAAATAAATAGATCTCCAGTCCTCTGTCTCCTGAACTAGGCAGGACCTATGGTCATAATTTATGAAGAGGAAAGAAAGGAAGTAGGGAGTCATCACTGACACTTTCTCTCTTACTATGATTCCAGAGTATTCTTTACTGCTTTTTGCATTTTCTTCTTTCAAACCTGACCTGGGCCAGAGGGGAAATTAGCCCTAGTCTCTGAACAAACTGAGTAAGTTATGCTCAGCACATCTGTGTTTCTTGCAGCTATTAATAGTTTAGGAGATTGCATCTTCCACACTGTTCCTCTTGGTACACTTTCAGCTCTTAAACACCAAGTTTTTGTTGGTCAGAATCTCGGCTCTATGACTCGAAGCTTTGTCCCATAGGCAAACTACTAGCTACTAAAACAGGCTTTGCCCTAATTCTCTTCTTTCATAGATCTTTCATACTGACTCAAAGATAATTACACATCAATCTGGGCATGGTAAAAGGCAAGCAACGAATTTTTATACAGCTTTTACTATATGCAAGGGAGCCCACAGGGAATACTAAGAATTATAGGTTGTAGTTCTACCTTCCAAAGGCTTACAGTCCTATTGGGAGTATAAAACACAAGCCAAAGGAAAAAACCTTGATGATACAAGGCAATGCTGATTGTCATGCATCCCACCCATATTTTTAAAAATCCCTGTTTTCACCTTCTCATAAAACCTATCTTTGGTGTTTATGGTAGAAAATCCAGGTGTCTCCATCAATTTCATTCCACCTTCCCTCTAACACAAGAAGTTAGAAAACTGAAGGCGTGATATCCTAGACTGCCTTGCAATGAGATGTGCAAGTTAAAGTGAGGGGAAACAAAGTTGGGCAGATATGAGTATTTAGAGGTCATCACAGCAGTAAAACAAAGATGCAGTTTTCAGTCACCAGCTTCGTAGCTGAAGAGGGCACAGTCATGGCTGCTTTAAGCTGCCAGGTATCAGCTATGATGTGGCTTCTTAGGAATCTTTGCTAAAGCTCTAATGGAGAAATGGGACGGACAAAAGACTAGAATTAGGACCCAATTTGGACAAGGTCCCATTTCACGTCTGGTTTGATCTGTGGCTTTGTGCAGATCAATTAACCTCTCTCTGCACTGGTCTTTCCTCTGTGGGCACACAATGGCTCTTCTTGAAGATGAAAAAATTTCCAGACAACACTATCATACTGCTCATTAAGGAGGGCTGAGGATCCTGACACTCTCCACAGGCCACTTACCCAGGGTGGCATCATCCATTTACCCCAAGCACTTTGGAGCAAGGGACAGATTCCTGGACACAGTGGCGACAAAGCCATTGAATTGCATCTCTTTTCTTTGTTTCGTGTGGTTTTTACTTATTTACGGAGTGCCATGGTTATTCGTGATGTTTTACAAACCATAAAAATAAGGTCTCCACCCTACAGAATTTACAGTGCAATTTAAACAGACGTGCTACATGGCTGACAGGTCAGGCGTGCCAGGAGATGGTGTTGGTGTTATATAACATGGGCGTGGAGGGCTTCTTCTTGCATTATAAATACTTTCCAGTTACAAGGGCCTTTCATCTGGGATCCCCAAGCACTTTAGAATAGCAATAACCTCGATTGCTTTCTAAATGCACTTTCCATAAACTGCTGTGGGGACTGAGTAAATGCTTTTAAATGTCTATTAATTGATCTGTACATCTGCTCAGTGTCCATATTAAACAGCATGGATGTAAACAGACAGTTTAGGAGAGGTCTGCTTTGGGCTGTGGTCTGTTGCTCACACATTACAAGCCCTAAGAGGCCTGGTAGCCTCACCACAGCATTGGGAGGGCCAGACAGACCCCTGGGTATCTTCCCATGTGAGATGCTTACTAAACCTGGCCTCAGAAAGATCCCTTCCTGGGGGTCTGGGTCACCATTTGTGAGTGAGTGAACATTTCAAAGTCAGGAGAGTTCAGAGGATGAGTTTGCAGTGGAGAAACTTGGGAGTCATTTCTTAGATGACAATAGTGGTCATCGTTTGGTCCTGTCACACTTCCACTTTCCTCTTGTGCCATCTTACTCTATTCCCTGAGCCAGGGCATTTCACAATGGCAGCATTTATGTCTTATTGCAATTAGTAAGGAGTTTCCCCTTCTTGTTTTCCCTCAAAGGTCTTTAGTGAGATTATTTCTGACCAAGTCGACAAATTTATTCAAACCCAAAGGAAGCTTTGTCTTAAAAGTTCACCTAGAGGCTTATGAGATAAGCAGCCTTCCTTCTATCCATCCTCCATACTGTTCTCAGAGTTCTCTTCCTAAAATTCAGATAGAATCACATCACTGTCACATCACTGCTTTAAAAAAAAAAAAAAAAAAAAAAACCTACTGAATAATGAAATCCAAGTGCCTTGGTCTTGTCTGTGTGACCTTTATGGCCTCAGCCAACTGGCCTGTCTCTTCAGCTTCATCTCTGTCCATGTGACCTGAGGCTTTTCCTATACCCAAGAAGTTGCCCTTCCCCAAAGACCCCAAGATTTCCCATTCATGCCTCCTGTGATATCTTTTATCTTCCCTCCTCGCCATGCACTGCTGTCCATGCAAGCCCACCTCTAATATCCTTACCTCAGTAGCCTTCTCCAGGCTCATCACCACCCATCCTTATCCCTACTGCCCTCCTGACTCTTGCTAGAGCTCCTGCTTCTCTCCACCCTTGTAACCCGTTGTCACAACTGTCACCTCAGCTTTCACCTGCATCTGTCTTCTCACCCTGCTGGGGGCTTCTCTGGGACAGGGGCCATGGCTCACATTTAGGAACCTCTCAGTAAAGTTTTGTGGAAGGGACCTTTTTGTGCATTTAGGAGTGGGGAGGAGGGAAGGCAACTATAGTCTAAGATCCATGTAAATTTTTTGGATCCCTCATTTTTGTAGGGTGTTGCCTCACTTACTATGAGGACACTCCACAATCAAGCTGATCAGATTTCATATTATAAAATGCTAATTTCAGGGTTTTCTGGCTTGTTACACATTTTTTAAATTTTCCTAATTGTGGTAAAATATATATAACATAAAATTTAACTTTTTATTAATTTTTGAGTATACAATTCATTGGCATTAAGTACATTTACTATCTACACCATCCATCTCCAAAACATTTTCATTTTCTCAAACTGAAACTCTGTACCCACTGAACACTAATTCTTAATTCCCTTCCCCATATTCCCCAGCAAACACCATTCTACTTTCTCTCTTTATGAGTTTGATTACTTTAAATACCTCATATAATTAGAATCATACAGTATTTGTTCCTTGTGACTGATTTATTTCACCCAGCCTAATGTCTTCAAGATTCATACATATTATAACCTATGTCCAAATTTCCTTCTTTTTCAAGACTTACTAATATTTCAGTGTACATATAAGCCACATTTTGTTTATCCAGTCATCTGTTGATAGACACTTGGATCATTTCCACATTTTAGTAATTGTTCATAATGCTGCTGTATAAACATTCAGATATCTGTCCAAATCCCTGCTTCCACTTCTTTTTGTATAAACCTAGCAGTGAAATGACACAATCATATGGAAATTCCATGTTTAATTTTTTGAGGACCCGCCATACAGTTTTCCATAGTAGCTATGCCATTTTACATTCCCACCAACAGGGCACAAGGGTTTCCACTTCTCTCCAATGCTTTATTTTCTTTATTTTTTAATTAAGCCATCCTAATGTGTCTGAAGTATTATCCATTGTCATTCTGACTAAACTCAGTTTTGAGACTCTGCATTCACTGTCTCAGTGCCTCATGGATAACCCAATCTGACTACCCACCATCACCTCTTTTCCTCACGAGACTTGAGCCTGCTTCCCGTGAAGACTCCACCAAAGAGCAGCTGGGCATGCAGTCTGTTGTGTTTCTCCACCCAGGTCAGCCGGGGCCACTCCCACAAGACTGTCATGGCCTTTCAGCTGACTGATGACAGGTCAGGTTGCTTTTCCAGGCCAAAGCAGGGTCCTAGATGACCAGCAAAAGGGTGCTTTAGTTTTCCACCCTCTTTTCTCCCCACCACCACCCCCAGCCCCATCCTGTCCTCTTTACAGTGTCAGAATCAAGGAGGACCCAGCTGCCCCCACCATAACAGTGTTTCTCAAAGGCATTCTAATTGGGGCAATTTTCATTATGCAGGTTAGTCCCACACACTGCTAAACACCAGTAGTGGCCCCCAGCCATTGGGACAACCAAAATACCCCCTACATCTCCTTAGAATCCCTCCCTGGATATGGGGGTTGCCCAAGTGAAAACTAGGTATGCAACGAATCTGGAGATACCCAGCATCCCACATTCATTCACGCAAAGAAACAGTTACCATAAAGAGGCCTCATGTTCAATTGAGGGGATGCTGGACTTGGGCCAAGGAAAAATGTCCCAGGTCACTTTAGATGACTTAGACAATTCTTCTGAGTCTGGTAACAGTTAATTGACAGTGACAGGCTCCCATATAAGAAAGGGAAAGACACTCTCTAAATGCAAGGTGATTGCTATGACAGAAAAAAATATACCAACGTGTGCCCCCCACACTCTGCCCCCCTTCAGGGCTTGAAATTTGAACCTGGTTGGGTCAATATCCATTTGACCCTCCTGCCCACCCCCAGTGTGCAAACACTCTGCTGTCTCTGCCTCCCTGGACTAGTTCCAGGGAACTCACTTCCCTGTGCTGCCATAGCAACCAGGAAACAACCTCCACTCACAATAAGGATGGTGCCATGGCGGGATCTGTAGATGCACACAACTGACCCGCCAGCCGGTAACAGAGCAACGGAGCCAGGGCACAACAAGCACGCAGGCGAAGGCGAGAGAGGCTGCCCAGAGAGCAGACGATCCCGAGCTTGAGGAGCCTGGGTTTGCGGTTTATTTTTTCTCCCGACAAAGACACACACTGTCTAAACTGTGTGGCTGGTTGTTATTAAGAAGCTGCTGTACGAGGGGAAAATGTATTTAATAAAAGGCCCAGTGTTTGTGGTCTTCTTAGGCTCACTGCTGAGCTTAGGAAATCTTGAGGTGTGACCAGTTTTCAGCCTTCAAAACCAAGATGAACTGCCCTTGAGAAGGGTGGTCAGAGAGGAAACATGTTCACACTCTCTCTCCTGAGCCGGGGACATGGGAAGTTGGTCCAGAACAAACAGAAGTTAGAAGTCTATTTTGAACCAGAGGTGAGTCTTACTGCTGAATAAAGGCACATTTTGGGGGTGAAGGTAGAAATATTCTATTTTTCCATTAGCCTTGTGCATTTTGGTTTTGTTTATTAGCGAGATGGGCTGGGGGCAGAGGGCCACTAATGGATCTTCCCCTCTTGGTGAAACTCCAGAAGATGACATAGCTTGCCTGGCACAAGGAGATTACCAATGTTGCCCTCTTCAATGACTTATGGCCTCTTTTGCTTTAGACCAAAGGGGATTCCAGATCATCTAGAATTCAGATATTTGATTTAAGACCAGAATTTCCACCTGTATTCTAGGCAAGCTCGTGGTTGTTTGGCTTTTAGAAGTTGTGTTCTGTGGTTGAAATGCTGTGTATGTACATGTCATTTCAAGGGCTTCCTTGAACTTTCTGAAATTCAACCCACTGGATTCATATTAACATACCCACCCTCCAAAAATCTCATCTTAGGTCATTTTAAAGCAGTGGCAAAATTCCCTTGTTGCACTAGTTTTTTCATTGTTGTTGAACTCTGCCAGGAGTAAGAAATCCATCTGGGGTACTTTGAAAACTTTTGGCTCACACAGAGATTTTCATTTCCGTGATAGTTTGTCATGATATTTGACCTTCCTTTTATTAAAAGACATATAAAGTTTCAAAAGACCTCTGTGGCCAATGGCATTTACTTACTTACAAGATATGTAACTACTTTATAGGCTCCTCAATAGCCAAATTAGGTAATGTTGCCTAGTGTCTGGAATGTACAGAAATTCTCCCTGTGTTCTGCTGAAGTGATGGATTGGAATGGTTTTTTCCCATTTACACTGCCAGTTAGACCAGTTCTAATTTCAGAGTTATCTGCTACCCTTGATAATTCTGACTATTTACTTGCATACCAGGAAACTTAAAAAGGCCTATAACCTATACTCTACCCTATTTAAACCTCCAGGCACGAATAACTCTGCTGAAAGTTGTATGGGGTAAAATGGAACGATGCCCTTGTTCTAATTCTGAGAGTGAACAAAATTGCCACGAGTGACTGTGTACTGACACCGCGCGAGCAGATCAGAGAAAGTCACCGAGAACCGTGCACATGGGGTGTTTGCTATATGTGGTTCTCCCACCTCCCACAGTACATCCATCAAGGTATCTCTTCTCATTGCAGGATTACTTGAACTGGAAGTCCCCAGAAGATTATGTCCTGGTCAGCAAACCAAAGGATGAGGGCAGTGGCAGCCAGCACATGTGGAGTCTTTTTCTCCCTAAAACATTCAGCACTAGAAAGGGCGCCCTGATTCTCTACTCAGAAGGTTTAGCCATATCAGCATGGACACCTGAAGAGAGAAGAAAAGGCCCCTGCCGCCCTAAAGGCCCTAGGAAGAGGCTAGATCTTGAACTGCATACACTCCAGGACCTCAAGGAAGCCATCCTGGCTTACGGAAGGGGACAGGTAGGCCAAGCAGTGTCCTGGGTGCAGGGCAGGTGCTTACCTGCATGTCTAGAAATCCAGTTGTGGCTTTGGGTAAACCTGTCTGCTCAGAACCCCAGGAAGGTATGAAATGCTCAGACCTCCACTTCTTTATCTCTAAAATGGGATTGTGGATTGTACTCGTGGCCTATTCTGTCACACTCAATTTGTCACAAGGTTTGAATGAATAGTGTCAATGAAAGGCTCTGGAGAGCATAAAGGGCTGTGTCATCATTATTTTGTGTCTTCCTTTCCATTAGAATAACACTAAGTTCCTTTCAGCATTGGCCAAATCCAGACCAGCAGACATCTTATCATAATTCTGGAAATCCTATCTCGTCATCACAAGCATCCTGATATTCTTGGCTTTGGAAATGTGGGAGAGTATTTTAAATATTTATCCTAAGTCCTTCTGTGTCTGCAGGAGAGTTAATGACTTTTTCCATTCTGAATGTAATATTAAGAGAAAAACCCTGTGCTCGTGTTTCTGATTCCTATTTTGTAATGTCTTGGGAGATGTACACACGGCCCCTGCTTTATAGAACCACGTGCATCAGTTCCTTGGCAGAGGCCATGAGAGAGACTGGGAAGATGTTGCACTTTACGGAGACAGTCTGGGTCACAGACGGTGGGTTACTCTCCAGTTTAAGTCTCTGCTGGCTTCACATTTTCCACAGGATAAAGTCATTAGCTTCTCACCTCAGGTTCTTCACTCATTGACTTTTTTTTCATTTCTAGCCACAACTCACATTTATTCTTATCAACACCTTGACCATGGGCCCCTCAAGACCCTACACAGAAGAGTTCACCATTCCCTGAATGCCCCCTCCCTTCATAACTTCACTCTTTGCACATGCTTCTACATCTGGAAAATTCCTACTCATCCTTCAAAACACAGTCCAAATGCCATCTCCTCCCTGATGCCTTCTCCCTTTTCCCTTGCAGAGATGTTCCCCTTGCACCCCTCCCTGAACATGCCCAGACTGGTGGGCATTGCTGCTTATCTCTTTGCCCATCTCTTGCCACCTCCGAGAGAGAAGCATCTGTGCCTAAATTATTTCCATAGAATAGTGAGTATTCATGAATGTTGAGAATGAATGAATCAGTCGTGCATGATGCTTTCAATGTTTCTTAGATCATTTCCCAGTATCATTATTGAGCAATTTATTATCTTCACCACCCTAGGCAGGGATTCCTCTGCTCCTTTTCCTTCTTGTAAAATACAGAGATGCTAATGACCTAGACCAAATAAACAATTGTCCTTTGTCTTAAAATCCTAGGATGAAAGGAAATTAATCATTGTTGAATGCTTGCTATTACTTTATGGCTTTTTCTTACAGTTATAAAAATATAAAAATATTTTATAAAAATCTTTAAAAACCTTTAATCTTCACAATGAGACTGTGAAATATGTTTTTTCTTGACCCCCTTTTAGAGATGAGAAAACTCAGATTCAGAGAAGTTAAATGACTTGGTTAAGATTTCAGAGATAGAAAATGATTGAGTCAAGGTTCAAACCCAGGACTGCCTACCTCTCCAGGGGCAGCATATTTTGCATTTCACGCTATTGTCTGTGGTCTTAGAAGGAACTTCAGAATTCATTATGCCAGGCTTTGGCTTGTTTGCCCTTACGTCCACGCCTCTTCTTTACTCTACACTGCTCTGCTATATAGAACTCCACAAACATCTGTGTCACCTGGCTTCTTGACTAATTTTGCCAGTGGGAAAAAAAGGAGAAAATACAGGATATGTCTTCCCTCCTTGGGATAATGAGAAGCATCTGCGCCACCTCTATGGTCCAATTCTCATGGACAGGCCCACGATGGTCCAGATCCTCCAGGTGACCCACCAGCTCATCCCTCCATCTTCTAGCCTAAGGGTGGCTTCCTGATGCTACTAATCTCAGTGTTACCCCACCATATGTTTGGCTTCTGAGCTCTCTAGTCACCTGTATAATCAATTCCTAGAATTAGATTGCTTCTGTGTTTACTTAGAGTGACTTCTGTTTTCTTGGTTGGACACTGACCCATATGTATGCTAAATACAGCCCAGAATAAGAATACCTTCCATAGCTTTCAGATATTTGTCTGTATGACTTGAATATTTTGGACAATAGGGAATTTTATTGCTTTATAAAGTAGGTGATTCCATTTGGAGATCTCTTCATTTTTATTAGACTTGGGCTCAGTGAAAAAAAGAAGTTTCTGTCTTCCTGTGGTAACCATCTACTAGATTCACAAGGCATGCCTATATAAAACTGAATATTTAGCGCCTACCCCCAGGATTCATAGAAAGCACTTTGAACAGTGGCAGAAGCATAGTAAATACTTTAAAAATGTTACACCAAATGGGTAGAAAAGAAATGGTGGAAGTACTCAGAAAAGAAAGAAAAATTTGAGAATAATAACAGGACAAGAATTTAAAGTTCTAAGACATAGTAGATTTTAAAAGTAACTCAAAAGGGACTTGGGAATTAAGAAAATTAGCAGCTTGGGAAAAAAGAGTTTGGGGAACTACAGAGCACCATCTGATTATGAAAACTATAGACTGCTTTTTTAAAATCACAGTATCCAGTGCTGGGAAGGTGATGGAGATATAAACATCCATACATTAGGAGCACAAGTTCACATGACATTTTTTTTAAAGATTTATTTATTTATGCATACAAGAGCTGGGGTACAGGCCAGAGGTGCAAGGGGGTGAGAGGATTCACCGGAGACAGAGTGGGGAACAGAACAGGCAGACTGACTGAAACACATTGCTGAGGGAGCAGCGAGCGAGTCAGGAGAGGTCTGCTGCACCATGTGGGTTGCTCCCTGGCTGGCCAGGGATCAAACTCATGCTGCAGAGGCTGCGGATTGCTTCATAGTGCTGTGCTTAACCCCTTATACCACCAGGGAGGCCCCACATGACATTTTTGGAGAGCACTTTGGCAAAAACCTAAAAGGGTTGATACTCATAGCATTCTACCTATAAGAATTTGCCTTAGGAAATAATCAAAGATATGCCCAAAAATATTTGCACATGAATGTTTACTACAATGTTGTTTATTACTAGGAAAAAATTGAAAATAACAAATGTCCAACAATGAAAATAGATTACATTATGGTACAATCATATAATGGATTCTGGATCAGGTAGTAAAGATATATATTAGTCATGAATAACATGAAAAAATATCCACAATGTTTTTTAAAGCAAGTTACAAAATAATGTTCATAAAATTAAAATACCATTGATCATTAATATTTTTTGAGTATTTACTGTGCTCTGTCTCTGTTCTAAGTGAACCCTGGGGGTAAGTGCTATTGTTATCTTATTTTAAAGGTGAGGAAATTGAAGAACAAATAAAAATTTTCATTCAAGATGATACAGCCAAGTAGATTGCACCAGATTCAAAACCAGACACTGTAGGGCCTCCCCGGTGGCGCAGCGGTTGAGCGCTGGGCTGCGAAGCTGCCCACAGCCTCTGCAGCGCCGGTTTGATCCCCGGCCGCCCGGCAAGTGTCCCACATGGCACGCAGACCTCTCCTGCTGCGCCCACTGCTCCCCTCAGCAGTGTTCTTTGGTCCTTCTGCCTGTTCTGGTCCCCGCTCTGGCTCTGGTGAATTCTCTCACCCTCCTGCTCTTCTGTCTGTACCCAGTGCTTGTATAAATAAATAAATAAATCTTTTAAAAAAAAAAAAAACCAGACACTGTAGAAAGCCTCACATCTCTAACATAATCGCAACTTTTAAACATAAGTTACAACCAGAAAGATACACATCGTAATTTAATGATGGGTAGTGTGAGTATGTGATATTTTTATTTATACATATATTTTTACCAAGCTATTTTAAGTCATAAGAATTTTTTAAAAGATCTATTTATTTATGCGTATAAGAACTGGGGTGTAAGCCAGAGGTGCAGGAGCTGAGAAGATTCACCAAAGACAGAGTGGAGAAAAGAACAGGCAGATCTACTGAAATACACTGCTGATGTGAGCAGAAGGCGAGACAGGAGAGGTCTGATGCACCATGTGGGTAGCTCCCTAGCTGAGCAGGGATCAAACTCGTGCTGCAGTGGCTGGTGATAGCTTGATAGCCCTGTGTTTAACCCCTGTGCCACCAGGGAGGCCCGATAAGAATTTTTTAGGGTGGCACTGGCGGTTCAGCACAGCGCTGTGAAGCTGTCTGCCGCCTCTGCAGTGCTGGTTCGATCCCCACCGGCCGCAGAGATACCCACATGGCACAGCGGACCACTCCTGTCACGCCCGCTGCTCCCCTCAGCAGTGTATTTCAATCAATCTGCCTGTTCTGTTCCCCACTCTGTCTCTGGTGAATCCTCACACCTTCCCACACATCTGGCCTGTACCTCAGTTCTTGTATAAAAAAATAAATCTTAAAAAAAATTTTTTTTAAAGAATTTTTTTAATAAAATTAAAGTCAATGATTTTGAAGGAGATGGATAGTGAAGGGGAGAGAGGTTGATTTAGCAAACCAGGAAGGGTCAGGAGAGGAAGTGGTATACAAGAAGTGTTATACATGGACTCCTCCAATAACTATACCATCTATTTCTTAGGATCAGTCTTTCTTTGTCCAAAAAGTATAGCTCAAGAGCTAAAAACATCACACTCAAAGTAAAAGATCCAAAGTGAAGAAGGAAAAATGGAGGAGGTTGTTCCCCAGTGAAGTAGCACTGCTCACAGAAGGAGCTACACTGCAACATGCATCAGGAAGGCTACATATGCATCTCCCCCTCAGACCTGTGGGAACTGAGCTGTCACAGGGAGGTGCAATTAAATTTGTAAAGCATCTCACGTCATCTCCAGTTCTATATATGGATCTAATGACATGTATGGCAATATGTCTGGGCTTTATTGCTCAGCCTACACCTATTTTAAACTTTCTTGATGGCCCAGCTTCCTAAGGAATTAAAATAAATGTTAAGCAATTCGATGTCTGAATAGTTACACTTCTATGTACATGTAGATATGTTGTTGC